AAAAAATTAATACTAAAAAGTTTTACCTCTTTTAAAATATTTGTAATTTTATCACTTGAGTTATATAATCTTTTTAACACCACGTTTGTTTCAGATTTATTATCAATAAATAGATAATAGTTAATCCAAATTGCTTTATGAACTTCACCAAAACCACCTTTAGCCAAATATTCAATATTTTTGAATTCATTAAAAGGAATCCATTCAATATAACTATCCTTATATCTATTTATTTTTTTACATTCATAAAGAAACTTGGCTATTTCTTTATTTCCACAATCAGCCTCTAAGTTTCCAATTTCCTTTTCTTTACAACCATTGCATAATACAAATGCATTCAATCTAACATCTGTGACAATTAAATTTAGATATGATCCTTCAATTGATTTTTTACTTTTTTCTTTCTCATTTTCTTTTAATCTATTTGAAAGTTCATTTAATGCATCAATTGATTTATTCAATAAAGAAATAAGATAATCATCATCTTTTATCATTTCTTTTTTACAATCAGCACAATTTCCTATTAATTTTAATGTTCCAAGTAATTCATTTAAAATATTATCAATCCTAATTTGTTTACCATATTTTTGAATTGGTTCATGTAATAAATTATATCTTGGATAAATTGATTCAATCAATAGTTTTAATTCATTTGCCAATTCAATTTTTTCATCTTTAAATGATACCAGATACTTATTTATCTTTAGAATTTTTTTAAATGATTTCATAAGAGCAAATATAATCACCAATTTTGGAAAAATGATTTTACATACTTTAGTACCACCATACAATTTATAGTGAATTATCAATATATACTTACTAGAATAACGATTCTTTTAACTTTAGGAACTTTTCAGTTAAGGATGCTTCTACACAACACAACAGAGGAACAAATTAAATATTGATGAATTATTGAATTCCTTAATAATATTATGAATTGCGACTAAAACTTCTCTTCGGAAGATCTTGGATTTTTTTGTAACGCATCTGCTAATTGGTTCATTTAATTAATTTATTGGAGTTTTCTTAATATTTTTTTTGTTTGCCTTCTTCTTTGATACTTTCTTCATTTTCTCCTTGAAGCTAGTTTCTTATTGAGAAACAAGATGAAATCAAAGAGGGATTCACCAAGGATTTCTTATAAACAAGTCCACGGAATATTGTCTTAAATATTCATCAATGGTTGAGGAAAGCCCAGAAGGAGATATTTACATTTGATATTTTTATATTCTCTCTGTTTTCTTAGAATTACTTTCATTGTCAAAGAAAGATAATGTTTTTAATATTGAGACTCCGAACGAATCAACGAAATACCGTGCTTTGATTTCTTTATTTCAGAGAATCTTGATTGAATTAAATTCGCGTTACAAAATTTTAAACTCTTTGCTTCACATATAAAATTCGTTGAAACGCAATTTTAAATGCAATTTTCTTATGTGTCCCATAGATTAATTGAAGTGAGGTTTGTTTGCTGCAAACACATTTTATTTTTTGACTTGATTAGAACTTAGTTTTTTTAATCCGAATCTATTCAATTCGTTCGAAGTCTTAGCTGACACTATCAATGATTTAATTGATGAATTTAAAAAGACCTATAATTTAAACGAATTAGGTAAATCCTTTAAGATGAATCACATTGATTTTTTATTATAGCGTACTCATAAATCATAAATGATAGTTAATAAATGTAAAAATTGTTTTCAAAAACATTTGGAATACGAGTTTGTCCTAATTGGAGCTTGTGAAATAAACAGCACCTCTTTCTTTTATAAAACAGTAAATAACCCGAGTCATTTCTAAACATCGTGATACTCTTTGATTCAAGAATAAATTGATACCACTGAACCTTTATACCCTTGTAAAGTCATAAAGTCAAAAAAAGGAACTAAGTGGTGGAGGATGATTTTCTTAAATAAAGTATTATTATCATTTGGAGCTTTTATAATCAGTATTATTGGCATGCTTAGATTCGATTTCGGGTCACAGCATTAATTATTAGCGAAAATTGAAAGATTACAAATTCGAACTTTTTCGTCGAATTGGTTTCAAAATTTCCATCTGTTGTTTGTATCGAATTTCGGTAATGTATTATTACATTTTTTAGGCCATTGTGATTCGTGGTCAACATTGATAATTTAGTTTCGCAATGACTATGTTCTTTTTGAATCACTAGGATTATATTTCTAAAGATACAAAATGGACAATTTAATTTTAAAAAATAAATATTTGTTTAATGCTTACGTCAATGTTATTTTTATAAAATTAAATTCCACAGTTCTTCAACATCTTTAAAGTAATTTTGATCGATAATTAGTTTACTATACTTGGTTTATTTTTCTGTTTTAATCTTTCTAGATTCTCTTATTTTATGAATTAATTTATCAAATTTTTTGATTTATATATATCATAGAACTGGTTTTATAATATAAGCATTTTGTTGGATATTATTAAAAGAGTATAGATTAATTGAGGGTTATTATTGGTTTTTCTTCATGGATGATGATGTAACGACAACATAAAGCAAGGATTCAATTGTACATGCTCACTTTGTTATATCATGCCACAGATAATGTATATGTTATTACAGTAATTCAAAATAATGCTTGCGCAGATATTCATTCATTTTGCTATGTTTCTTTGAATAATGAACTTTGGATTTTACCTTGTATTAATTAATAGCGAACATTCTTTTTTTTATCTTGACAGTCATTATAATCTATATATAATAATCTACTTAATCATGATCTTTATTTTCTTCCCCTTTGTCTTCATCGTATAATAGAATGTTTATTATCTTAATCCACGTCATAATTATCCTAATGTTCGTCATTATCTTCATGCTAAAAGATTGATTGTAATATTATAATTATAAGTGAAATTACTCCCATGACCATTACTATTTCCACCATTACTACTGATTGCTACTATTTCCATCAATGGCAACATCATTATTATTAAGAAATAAATAACAATCAAACATCAAGGAATCTTTCATATTATTTATTATTATTTGAATTTATTGATAAAACCAATTCCCAATAAAATAATAAACATTCTATAAAAAATTAAAGTTGCTTATAATAAAGAATTTACACAAGAATTAAACGCATTATTTTTTTATTTTTTTTCCATTTGATGACGAGGATTTTTAAAAAAATCATTTCGATAAAAATATTAATAGATTTGATTATATATATTCTTGATGGCTTCTTCTCATAAGAATTGAGTTTTTTTTTTTATAAATACAAGCCACTCCTGTGGCATTGAAAAAAAAAGGTACATCGAGATGGATTTTTGCCCACGAAATCTCAACTTGTTGCTCAGGATGTCGAAAAAAGATATATAAATAATAATTTTTTCAATGAATGATTATTTAAAACAAGAGATAAATCTTTGCCCTAAAGTTATTTTGCCCTTCAATTGGTAATGACTCGATAAAGAAAACGGGTGTAGGGGTTGGCACTGTTAATCGTTTAACTGCGGTTAACCGGTTAAGATATTTTTTTAACCGGTTAATTCTTTTTGATTAACCAGTTAACCAGTTAACCATTTGTAAAATTAACCGGTTAACCGGTTAAAGAATTTTTGCGCTGGGCCAACCTCTAAACGGATGTCACGTTCAAAAATCATTGAATGAAAATGCCAATAATATCAAACGGTGTAAATAATTTCCAATTATTTGACTTCTTTGATCGCAATTCTAAAAGATAAAGGTTGATTGATTTGATTTTTAGGTCATTTGCTCTTTAAAATAAAGGAAACAAGCTCGTATGAGCATCATCGTCATCGTCATTTTACTCGAATTTCAAGTGGTTTGGTAGAATAAATAATGAATAATAGTAATGTGAAAAGATAGCACTACGTGCTCAATAAATCAAGGTTCATGGGTTGCTTTGGCTAGTTGAATTAAAATTCAATTATATCATTAAATGTTATGTGTAAAAAAATAAATAATGTGCCTTCGTTATTGCTTTTTTTATAAAAATTCGCGTAACATATGTGGCTAATTTAAACTTGTACGACTTTGAGCCATGATGAGGAAGCTTAGATCTTTCCACTTTACATATTTCCTTTTTTGGAGCCAATAAAGGTTGGTAACTTGCACTGTACTCTCTACTCGAGTACTATGTTTGTTATCTTGTTATTATGACGTGAATTGTACGCAATAAACAAATAAATTTTGTTGATTGATTGACAGTTTTACATTATACTTTTTTTCCTAAATAAAAATGAATGGTTTTTTTTTTTTTTTTTAAAAAAATTTTAATAACAATCTTTTTTAATTAAATATTAATTATTAATATAATAATATTATTTATTCACACTTGTATAAATCTCTATTAAATATTTTGAAAATGTTAAAACAAGCTTCTATTTACAACAACTACCAACAACACGTAATCTCCACCAACAACAACTACAACAACAATAATAATATAAATTATAATAACTATAATTATAACAGTTATAATAATTACAACAATCATTATAATCACAATAATATAAAGTACGGTAGTAACAATAATAATAATAAAAAATATAACACGGATAATACTCCTACCAACAAAAATACCAGTAACGCCACGATAACCAACAATCATTCCAACTACTCTAATTATAATAACACTAAATATAATAATAATACTTTTTACAATAATAACAACTCCATAAAATCTCATATTAATACTCAATATAACAACAACTACAACAATAATTATAATAGGAATTTCACTGGAGCGTATTATCGTAATCATAGAAATGGTAAATACAATAATCCTACATCGATGCGTGCAGCCCATGTAAATATACCGTTCATCATTAAACTAGACGATTCTGATTCTGATGTTGATAACGATGACGATGACGATGTTGATTCGGATGATGATGAAAGCAGTGAGTCTGGAAGTAATAATAATGACGCCAATGTCGAATTAAATGCTGATAACACTAGTGATAACAGTTCTGAACTTGATTCAATAACAACTCCTTTTCTACATCCATTATCTCCTGGTGAATCAAATTATCAAAATAACATAAACAGGAAAACCTTATTAAAAAAATTTCCAATAAATAAATACACGGTTGATGAGGTCAATGATTATATTACAAATATAATCAAGTGCTTACAAACTGGTCAATATGAATGTAAATTATGTTATAAATCGATCATGCCCTACCAAAAAACTTGGACCTGCCAACTTTGTTGTTCGATATTTCATCTTCCCTGCATCAAAAAGTTTGCAACGAATCAAATCATAGAAATTTATAATGATGATAAAAAAATCTTTTGGAAGTGCCCAGGCTGCGATATACCATCAAAATCATTCCCCAACTCATATCACTGTTTTTGTGGTAAGTATAAATATAAATGCATTCATTTTGTAATTGTAATTTAATTGAGTTTCAATTGGTGATTAAATTAATATTGGATTGAGTTTAAATATCTTATTTCAAACATATTATTAACACTTGTTTGTTTGTTTATTATTTAAAGGTAAAACCACAAATCCAACGAATAAAAATAAGACGCCACATAGTTGTGGTAGAACATGTGGAAAGAAATGTGATAATGACAAGTGCTTATATACTTGTAATCGGTAGTTACAATTATTAATCTTGTAATAATGCATTGCATTATATATATATATATATGTATTGAATTGAATTAACATGATTATTTTTGAATATTTAAAGAATATGTCACCCTGGTCCTTGTCCACCGTGTACTAATGCTTGCAATAAAATTTTAAGGTAAGAGGAAAAATTATTCTTTTTCACTCAAAAACATTCAATGATTAATATGCACATGTGCTTATTTGTTTTGTAAAGTTGTGGACATAAGTGTCAAGACACCTGCTCTCATGTCGATGAATGTAAATGTAAAACTCAAGTACCAGTCAAATGTCAATGTGGCAGGATAAAATTTAACAAAATGTGTTTTGAGGTTGCTGAAAATGGTGGGCAGATTTTAATATGTAACAAATCATGCAGAGATCAAAAGAATTATAGTGTTGAAAAGGTTAGTTATAGATTTCCTGATTTTATGTAAATAATAACAATCATCATAATAATATTATATATTAATCACTTTTATTTTGATTTTATTTAGAGCAATGCCTTTTGTCCTCAAACATCCAACAACAATAGAAATAGTAGTTACAATACTAATAACTTGGAAAATATCCGTACACACAAAGCTGTATGTGGAAAATTATTAGAGTGTAACAATCATTATTGTCAGAGATTCTGTCATCAAGGTGATTGTGGATCATGTAAAGAAATATCTGACAAGGCGTTTACCTGCAAATGTGGTGGTTCAACACTCCATCCACCAGTACCTTGTGGTAAAAAATTACTACCTTGTCCCTACAATTGTGAATCTCATAGTTACATAAGGAAATGGAACAATAATAATAGATATGGAAATAACAATGCTGTCAGCAATACTAATAACTACTCCAGCAGTAATAGTATTAATAACACTAGCAATAACAACCATCACAATCGTAGTATCAACAACAACACTACTAATAATTATAATCATAACCGTAGTAATAACTCCAATAATTACCATCAAAACCGTAGTGGTAACAATAGCAATATTTATCATCACCACAATATCAACAATAATTATCATAATTACAATTACAATTACAATCTTGGTAGCAGTAATAACAACTTTCGCAGTAATAATGACAGTGATTATAATAACGTTACTCAATATCAAAGTAAAAATAATAGTTACAAATATACTAATAATTATTACAACAATAGACAAAGTGTTAAAGCCTAATCCTTAGAAAACATTAATTCTTGGAAAATCTTTTTTTTTTAAAAAAAAAAAAATCAAAAAATTTTGTAAAATCCACAAAAAAATTGATCCTTTTATATTTTTTATGAAAATTATTATATGTTAATATCTGTGAAAAATTATATTTATTATCTGAAAAAAGATAAATTTGCTTATAAAATAAAAAAACCAATATTTTTTTTTTTGCTCTGATAACCGATAATTGGTAACTGATGCTGCTGATACAATCAACAAGTTTCTCTATAAACTATCTTTCGGTCCCGAGCTCAAGACAGAGATAAATAAATATACACACTCTTCAGACATTTTTATTATATATATATGAGATGAAAAAGTTGGACCTGATATCTTCAATTGAGGAACTCTACTCTAAAATATAATGATCGATGACAAGATTTCCAGCTATTATAATAATAAAAATACAATATTTCTATGACAATGAATAATAATATATCAAATATATCAGATTAAAAAAAAATATATGTATGTATAGTTGATTTGAGTTAATCCCTTTATGTATCTTTACATGAATTATGTAGTAACGATGTGGTAATATTAGGAATTATATTAATATACAAATATCATAATAATAATAGTCCTCTTCTTTCGTCTGCAATTAGATAAGAAATTATGATTTATTGATAATAATGATGATTATTATTTATTGAGGGCACAACAACGATAAATCAAAAGACTGATTATTTGAAAAAACAAAAGATCCTGGAAAAAAAATCTTTATTTAATACAATCCTTTATTTTGTAAGGAGACGATGAAAAAAATATAAATTATTTTTTAAATCAGCAAACAATATTAAAAGAAAAAATCTTGAAAATTCATTATTATATTTATGTTGGTTGAACGTGTAAATATTTTATCTATATAATTTACACTTTTACAAATTTGTAATTGAATATATTATTAGAGTAAGAAAGAAAAATAAATGAACAATGAATAAATGAATTAATGAATATTAATTGAATGTTGAGTAATAAATAAATAATCTATTATGATCTATGTCAATGAATCTAAAGATTCTAAAGACTATGATGAAGAATAAACCAATAACAATTATTTGTTCCAGATTTAGGTAAGAAAAATACATTCTATCGATTTAATAATAATAATAGTTAATAATAATAATAACAACAATATTTTAAAATATAAAATATTGTAATCTGAGAAACACAATAAATACAGCAAGTAATGTACTCACATACCTATAATATTATTTTTTTTTAAAAAAATGAATAATTTTAAAATATCTTTTCTTGGAATTTCCTAAATTTCTCATCAATACCTGAGGATTTTAATTTAATATAATTTAATCCTAAATTTTAAATTTAATTCTGCCAAAAAATATATATATATCGATAAACTATACAAGATTTTTTTTCTTGATTTATTGTTTAAACTTACATGGAAAATAAGAGCCAAATCTTGCTGCTCTATTTATCCAATCTATAAAATTACACGATATACAATTTATTAATCATGCATTAGAAAGAGGGATGGAAAACAGTATATGTAAATAATATTGGTTTCTTACTTGGTGCAGCTTTGCCAACTAATTTCAGACACAATTCATTTGTGAAATGATTGCAATTCCTGTTATTTATCATTACCGTTATCGTTATCCATTATTTAAATACTATTTGATTGTTTTAATTATTCAGAAATTAATACCTTGTTAACAATTGATAAGTGTTTCCTTTCCATTCTTCGGATAACTCATCAATAATATTTATGATTTCTTCTTTATCATAGTCACTATACCCAACTAAAATAGAATCCCTATTAAAAAATAATAATAATAACAGTAGATTACTATATTTGCAATGATAATGTGGTGGATGCATCATATTATATTAAGTTATATGCATTATATTATATGGTTACCTATAGGTGACATTTGGTGGGCCAACTCTTGGAGGTAATTCAAATATTCCAGTACACTCATCATCACTTCCACCAAAATTATATTCTAAATGTCACATAATTAAAACCTTTAAAATCGTTTATAATGATTATTATAAGGGTTTTTATAATCAATTAATATACCTCTCCCTAATATTTCTACTCCAGAATGAAATACCCCTAAATAAATAAATAAAATTTATTTATTATTTATTAATTTATATTAATTAATTATTCACTTATTGCTAATTATTATATTTATATCGTTTGTTACCAATTCCACATTTATATCCAAATTCTGTAATGGTTTTTTTTGGCAACTTCAAAATAAATAATAAAAAAAGGATTATTATAATTGAAAGTAATTCACAATATGCATTATATATAATTTATGTTTACACTTTACCATATCATACACATTCACATACACCTTAATGACAAATAATAATTAATAAATAATAAATTAAATTTTCAAAGTAATGTCTTTCATTCTTTACCGGAATTTGATTTTCATTGTACAAAGAAGTTGATGAATTTGAATCTTCGAAAATGCAAAATAAACAATTCATTTTTATTCTAATATTTCCAATAATGACAATTATGATTTATTATAACGACAGTGATTATGAATTCTAGTTTATTATTATTATTATTATTATTTGTACACGTAAAATAATAATAAAAATAACTCGGCACTCAATTTTTGTGATACAAAGTGAGCATGAATTCCGCAGCTTCTAAAACTTTATTTTTTACAATGACTTAAACTAATAATAACAATACATGTATAATTAAATAATATTTAAAATAATGAAAAAACAATTGCCTTTTTTTTCTGTGGATATTTATTCAACATCCAATTTATCCATTGTTGTATTTTTTTGAGATTGATCATCTTGGAATTGTTCTGTGTCTTTAGACGATATTTCTATTTGATCAAGAGATTTTTGAATGGATGATTGTGATCGTAGTAGTCCTTGTTGAGGATGATACTGTATTTGTTGTTGTGGTGATGGTGATGGTGTTTGTGGTTGTTTTAATTTTTGTTGTTGTGAATAAATTTGAGTTGGAGGAACTTTAGGAAAATTCATTCTGTTGGTGAAAAGACCTTTAATGCTTCTGATTTCTTTTTTAATTTGGGATGCATCAAGATCCTTATCTATCATTAACCCTGGTGGAGTATTTATCGTGCTTGAAAGATATGTAACTAGGGAACCCAACGAGTCTTGAATTTCGTTTATATCTTCTTTTGGATTTTCAAATTCTTGATGAGCCTTCAACTTTTCTGCCATGCTTGTTAAATCCGTTGAAAGTGTCGTAAGCAAAGAAGGTTGTAAAGAAGATGTTGTTGATGACGTGGAAAATTTTAGTGATAAAATTTCGCTAGTATCTTGGCCTAATTCTGTAGATTTGTCATCATCATCATCATCACCATCATCGTCGTCGTCGTCGTCGTCGTCGTCATCATCATCTTTAATATTTATTTCCCGAGAATTCTCAATAATAAATTTATTAGTTTTAGTTTTAGGATATATTAATCTCTTCAATGACTCAAATGATGCAAGATTCTCATTAAATTTTTTAAATAGATCGAGTTGATGTGAAAATAATTGTTGTTTGGCACTAATTATGGAATTAATGTATGAAACAACATATTTCTATAATGTGATATGCATAACAAGATGATAAAATTAGCCTTTAAAGAACCATCGTGATAAAATAAATAAATTTGAGGATCATTATTCAAATTTAATTTGCCTTGATAAAAGTAATCATGATAACACTAAAAGCACCAGTGATCATTGACACGATAATTAGTTGTTGCCATAAAGGTCTTCTCCTAGCAACAATAACATCACTATTAGTTGAAGAAGGTTGCTGTGGATATGTACGTGGTGGTATTGTAGGTGGTGTGGTTGGAGAATTTGATGTTGTAGCTTCTAAAACTGGCTTGTTTGGAATTTTCTATATTCATATTATAATAAACTGCTATAGAATAAATTGTATATAAAAACTCGCTTGTGACATTGACCCTTACATTTACCTGGTTTTCTATATTTGCATTACTTTCATCATCGCTCACAAATTTTTCTGATTCTGATATTGCTGCTACTTTACCCATTTCTTGTTTAAATTTTTTTGTTTGTAGACATGTGAGAAACGTAAACATTAAAACATCAACATACATGCATATTTATGTCGAAGTGAGTAACACTACATTTGTTTACATATTTTCTAAATTAATTTAAAATCCTAAAAATTAAAAAAAAAATTATTATACTGACAAAATTTTTTGATAATGGATCCGCTTCTTTTCACCACTCCTGCTAAAATTCGTGTGCTTCTTGTTCCAGTTCATCCAATTAAAGCACAAGTGTTTCATAAACATGTCGAATTAGTTAGAAAATTTAATGTGGTCAAACTTGGTGATGTTACTCCTGACATGCGTAGTGTTCAATGTATGTGTGTAAAGTTTTTATAGATCAATCATGATCTATCTACACATTTTAATTGAAAAATTGAATCAGATTCATTCATTTTAATTACCTGTATAATGGTTTAATGGTTTATCATGTTAAAATTTTATTACAGCAATGTTTAGCTCACAACTTTTTCATGAAGGACAACTGCATTTTAATTTTGTGACTTCTTACGAGCCAGAACATTCATACCTTGAAGAATTTCAAATGCATCGAAGAATTTTTGGGGTACTTGAATCAAAAAATTTTTACTATATTGAATTTATGTTATACTGTTATTTATACACGTATTATAAATATATTATCTAGGTAATTGGGATAATGGATTGTCGTGAATGGCAGAGTTTGCCAGATGGATATAAGAAATTTTGTGAAATACTAAAAAATGTAAGTATATAATTAAAATTTAATAAAAATTATTTGTTATAATATTTTTTTTAAAAAAAGTTATATTTGAAATATATTTATTTATTGATTTAAAATTAAAATTAAAATTAATCACAAGTATCCAACAGCTATTGCACATAGATGTTTTGCATTTGATCCGTTTGATCATCAACCAGATGATACTAAGGGACTAATTATGTTTCCTGATGTTGGAAATATGACTTTTTATATGACTACCATGATTTCAGATTTTGCAAATAATATTCTCACAGAATTCGGTACTTTGGTAATTGTTTAATTTATTAACGACTATATTATTATAACTATTATGATCATTGTCAAATGTATGCAAATCATATAATTAATTCATTAAAATTAATTTTTTTAGGCATCAGCTATTGAATCAAAAAATGTTATTCATTCTCCAAAAATTCCAACAGAAAATTCAAATCCATCACAAAACGGAAATAGCACAGTAAACGGTCATGGCAAGTTTTCTTCACCATCACACTCATTTTCTTCACCAGAATTGAATGTACCAACGATACCTTCTCTACTAACTCTAACACCACCTTCCCAAGCAATGACAACAGCTGGAATGGGTGGGACGTCTGTTGGTGCTAATCCTAGTAATCCGTTTCATGGCAGGTCATTTTCCTCATCAAATCTTGTCAGTTTTGCAACTCAAGCTGCTAATGCAACTAGCACTGTTACTGACATGAAACTTAAAAGAAGATCTCAAGGAAGAATTCAGAAATTGATTGCCGATTTGTATTTAATGGCTGGAAGATTACCAGATGCTGTTTCAAAGTATACCGATTTTTATTTTTACTTGTGTATACATATATATATACCTATTCTGAAAAGTTTGAATTTTTTATTTTATTAATATTTTCTACTAATTCATATATATATATATATATATATGTATATGTGATTTGATATTAATAAAGTTATTCTCTTGCAATTGATACAACAAAGGCAAATGGTGATTATTTATGGCATGGCTCAGCATTAGAAGGGTTGTGTGTTGGGTTGATTCTTTCTGCATATTTGCATTCAGATGTTGGGGTAATTTTTTCAAGAAGCTTCGACTTTTTTATTTTTATTTTCAATGTATTTATCAAGATTTCATGATTAATTAAAAATAGTCACATCTTATTCAATCTCCACCTTCTCCAAGTCAAACCGCACCTACAATTCCTCCAACTCCCAACGCCTCTCCTGCGACTGGTGCTCCTCCTGTTACCGAACCACCAAAAGATTTATGGGCGCACATAACTGACAAATACGTTACAGTGCTTACTTTGTATGCAAAAACTTCTAGTTCTAACAATAATCAAGTTCCTCCTTTAATTTATGCCGAAGCATGTTTAAAAGTCGCTAAAATGTTATCCTGTATTTGGGTGGTTGGTGGTTGGGGTGATGAAGCATTGAGGTTGATTGTTCACGGAGGTGTTCCAGAACCTCAATTAAGTGAAAAATGGGGATTAAGTATTGTTAGTGGTATTTCAAAGATTGAAATTACTCAATGGGCTGTGAAAGGTTATGGATCTTATGTTGAAGATATGTCTATTACTGAACAGGTAAGCTTTCATTTTTTTTTTCAAAAAAAGCCCCTATTATTAGGATAAATTTAATTAATAATAACTGCAATATAATTGATTTTTATAGATTTATATTGCTACCAATTTATCAGCCATTTTTTCAATAATAAATTTTCGTCGGAAACACGCATTTTTCCTTCGACAAACATCCTTGTTGATTTTACCACTTCTTAAACAACGTATTGGCGCACCGAATAAATCACCGTTTACTAATGAAGCTGGTTTATTGATATGTTTAAAAAAAGTAGCCGAAGTATTTGGAGTAGGAGGTACTATTCTATTTAATTGATTTGCTTTGTTATGTTTATTATAGTTGAAAATTTTTTTTAATTTACTTATTATTATCATTAGTGTTGATTAGATAAATATATTCATGAACACTGTTTATTACACTTTATTTTTATTAGATTCGATTGATCATGTTGATTATTCGAATGTAGTAGAAGATGCAAGACCTCTTTCATTTGGATGGCCAGATATTCAAATTGATGTGTTGAAAGATGCAATCTCTGTAACAGAAGCTCTTCCAGGTATATTCTAACATATTTATTATTAATAATTAGATATTTATAAATTAATATGTTTTTTTTTATTAAAAAAAAAAGATTATAATTCTATGATGAAATATACAACAAGATTATTGCGAAAACTTTTCATGTATTTATCGAGAGATGAACAACTTCGTTTGTCAGGTTTATTACCACGAATTGTTAGTGCTGGCAAAAAGCAGGGATTACCAATGGAATTTAAATATTGGGGATTGAATATTGTAAAGGGTATCCAAGTGTGTCAGTAAGTGTATTATTTAATGAATTACTAGTGGATCCAAACTCTTTTTAATAATTATTAACGATTTGTGTATTTAATCATAACTGATTTTTTAATTGATTTTTTAGACCTACTACTAGAAGGATACCTTATCCACATCCTGGGAAAAAAAGATTACCAAAAAATGAAGATCTCGAATCGAAAGATAATTCAAGTCCGTTTATATATCAATCTTTCAATAAAAAGAAAGAAGAAGCCGTCCAGGTAATTTGATATTACGTTTTATTTATAGAAAGAATTTTTTCTAATCACTAATTAATAATTAATTCTATTGTAAATATTGAAATATTGATTAGACACACTTGGTTGCAAATGAAACAGCATATTTTCTAGTCACCTTGGCAAATCCATTTGCATTTGATTTAGAAATTCAAAGTATAACTGTTAGGTTTGAAGATTTTATGATTATTATATTATTATTAGAAATACGATTATTTTTTTAAAAATTAAAATAAAATTAAAATATCTTAGTACTGACGGAGTAGCATTTAAACCAAATCCAATGTCGACAACAGTAACAGCTAATACATCAGTAACTTTACGTGTTTCTGGTACACCTACAGAACCTGGTGATTTGGTTGTTAGAGGATGTAAAGTTAAAGTTCATGGTTGTTTGGAGCAGGAATTTTGTGTATATTTACCTAGAAATGAGGAAGAAACCAGAAAAAAGGAAAGAGAGGAAGAACATAGTAAAAGAATTAAAAAATGGTTTGTGAATAAAATAAAATAAAAATTAAATAAATTTATTTGTTTGTTGATTGATTATTGAGAAAAACTTTTATATTTATAGCGGACTAGCAGTAATTAATCGATCAATTCAACATCATAGAGGTAATTAATTAATCATATTAATGTTATGAATTCAAAAAAAAAATAGAAATCAAATAAAAATCATTCTATTCCTTTTTCCTATTATAGAAAAGTCAAAAGCTTCGACAGTTGATGGAGTCGACCTTTTAGCAGATTTCTTAAAAGTTGTTGTTATAATGGAGCAGCCATTGGTTAAAATTAAATCTACATCTTTGATGCACGGAGCTGTTATGCTTTTTGAGGGAGAAAAGTAATGAACCAAATTTTTGTCAATAATGTAAAAAAATTTATTTAAACAAAATATTAATTAACATGTAAAATTTTTTTTAAGAACTGAAATGACAATGAAATTAGAAAATGTTGGTAAAACACCAGTAGATTATATTAGTATATCATTTCATGATTCAACTATTGCTGATGCACAGGCAATTTTGAATTCATCGGATATTCCAGCAGAAGAGGCATATGAAATGGAATTATATGCTCATAAACAACCAGTATTTTTCTGGGAACAAACAGACAAAGAATTAAACATCTCACCGGGAAATGAGTGGGTTCTTAATCTTAATGTGTTTGGAAAACGTGGATGGTAAATCTCTCGTATTTACAATGAGTATATTGCGATGTTAAGTTTATTAAAATATTAATAATAGTTTCTTTATATTTTGTTTTAAAGCACTAATGGCACAATACAAATAGATTATGGGTATCTGAATAGATTAAATTCATCATGCGATGAAGTTTTTTATACTAGACAAGTTTATTATCAAGTTTTATTAACAATTCACCAGAATCTTGAATCAGTTTCAATGGACATTTTAAGTTTCAAGCCATTAAATATTCCACCAATTGATTCTTCAAAAAATTTAATGATATCATCGCCATCAAATAGCAACGATCAAATTGTTAATGGCACAATAACAACATCAGTTGCAAGTGGAGAAGATCAAAGGAATAAAAGAGTTGAAGAGTTAATAAAAAATATAAAATGGAAAAATGTGGCGGTGGAT